GAACAAGTCCTACGGTTTTAGTCTTCCAGATCAACACGTTCCTTAGTTTCTCTTTGAAGATGGGAGTCAAAATAGAATGAACAGAACGTGTGATTTGGGGACCATAACCTTATATTTATTGTGATATAAAAAACGCAACAATATTGTGCTATAAAATTTTGTGTTGACCCAATAAAAAACGCGTTTTACAGATCAAGACAAGTTGCGTTAAATCTAGGAAACCCAATTTTTCCCCCTTTTCTGACTTTGACTTGAATAATTCTAGTCAATCAATTTGTTGTTCATTTACGGAAAGCCAGATTGGCAGAACATGACAGTGGAGTAATGTTATATAAAATTAGAGTCATCCCATTATTCTAAGAACGTGATATAATTATTTAGTTGTATAGTGAATGATTGCTGCTAAGAATCACTATTATTTTTTTTTTAACTACGCTGGTCGAAAGTACTTATCCTCAAGATAAGTAGCAATAGCAATTTTCTAAGCATCTCAGAAAAAATCACTTTTTTTTTCTGTCAAAAATTCCATCTTCTGATAATTCACGAGTATTTCTTCTAGCTACATGTTTCTTTCTTCTACTCAGAGCATTAATCTTTTAAACTGCCTTAGCCCAGCGAATAATTCAATGTATATCGAGAATCCATTATGTGGAAACAAAAGTACTTTTTCCAACTCTTCAAAAATACATAGTTACTTTGTAGTTGGGAACATGTTGGTATCTGATTTGGAAGAATCGTGCACCGTTGACATGGTGGCTTGGGCCTCATCGGACATTCCTTTGCAAGAAAACACTTCCTATTCAGCCATTCATGACTTTCTGGCATTCGGGTTTGAGCTCACTTGGTATTGTGCCTTGTGTAGAGAATGTTATGCAAGTAAAGGCACTTGCATTGCTGAGGACAATCAAATTCGCTGCCGCCATTACTGTTATGAAGACACCCCTCTTTCAGAACGTACTTTTCGCTGTAAGATTATGCATTTTCTTTGTCTTGACGAAAATTTTAATTTTCATATTGTACAGCTCGTTTGGTTTGTTAACAATCTTTGGTCTTCGGATATGCAGGCAAATTGGAATACTATGCACCTAAGTGTTCGTAATTGTGGCCTCTGCTGATTTGATGTTTTCTTAGCCTTCTCTTGTAATTTCCCATATTTTTGTTCTCTGATTTTATTTTCTTTCCGTTTTCACAGCTTTTATATTTCTCATTGTTCTCCCTGTGATTGGTAAGATTAAGTGTCCCTTTCACACGTGATAAAGAGTGATGTTTTTCATGTAGGAATGACCTTATTAACATTGTAATGGTAATCTTGTCTCATTGTTCATTTCGCAATTATGCAGGAGCAATAATAGCACCAAAATTGTTATGTGGCTTACCATTCGTACTAGGATTGATAGTGTATAAATGGAGAAGACGAAACTTATGGATTGATGATGACATCATTGAAGAATTCTCGAAACATCAAGATAATCTTATGCCGATAAAATACTCTTACTCTGAGATCAAGAAGATGACGAAAAATTTCAAGGATAAATTAGGCGAAGGAAGATATGGAACGGTTTATAAAGGAAAGCTTCGAAGTGGCCCTTTTGTTGCAATAAAGAATATGTCCAATTCTGTTGCAAGTGGCAAAGAATTTATCAGTGAAGTTGCAAAAATTGGAACGATTCACCATGCAAATGTGGTGAAACTTATTGGCTTCTGCATTGAAGGTTCAAAACGAGCTTTGGTCTATGAGTTTATGCCTAACGGTTCTCTTGACAAATACATATATTCTCAAGAAGGGACCATCTCCTTGAGCTACAAAAAGATGTTCGAAATGTCTCTTGGAATGGCTCGTGGGTTAGACTATCTACATCATGGCGTCAAACATGTTGATATTAAGCCTCACGACATTCTTCTAGATGAAAATTA